GAAGATGACCACTCTTCAGGTACTGCTGCACGTAGCTGCTCACCGTAACTACGAGCTGCACTCTCTTGACTTGAGCACTGCTTTCTTGCAGGGCAGCCTGCACGAGGAGATCTGGCTGCATCACCCACCTGGCTTCACTGTGTCTTTTCCTCCTGGCACCCAGTGGAGCCTCCGGCGGCCAGTCTACGGTCTCCGCCACGCACCGCGTGAGTGGCACAACACACTGAGGACTACACTTGCGGCTCTTGGGTTTGCTCCCTCTACTGCAAACCCGTCGCTGTTTCTGCGCACCGACACTTCTTTGACGCCGTTCTACATCCTCTTGTACGTCGACGACCTGGTCTTTGCCACAACTGATACTGCTGGACTCGCTCACGTGAAATCCGAGCTGCAAAAGAGACACACGTGCACAGACCTGGGTGAAATGCGCAGCTACTTTGGCTTGCAGATCACCCGGGACAGAGCACGCCGCACCATTACCCTGACTCAGTCACACATGGTGCAGCAGGTCCTTCAGCGCTTCGGTTTCACGTACTCCTCGCCTCAGGCCACTCCTCTGCCTACTCGCCACTTGCTCTCAGCTCTGCCTTCGGATGAGTCCGTAGAGTCGAGTGGCCCGTACCCAGAGCTTGTTGGCTGCCTCATGTACCTGATGACCTGCACACGACTTGACCTTGCATACCCTCTTAGCATTCTCGCACGCTATGTTGCTCCTAGGAGACACAGACCGGAGCACATGGCTGCAGCGAAGAGGGTGTTGCGCTACTTGTGCAATACGTCGGGCATGGGGCTTGTGCTTGGAGGGCAGAGTCCAGTGGTCCTCACTGGGCACGCAGACGCTTCCTGGGCTGACGGCCAGGCTACGCAGCGGTTGTCACAGGGTTACACCTTCAGCCTTGGTTCCGGCTCTGTTTCGTGGCGGGCTACCCGCTCGTCTTCTGTTCTCGTCTCCAACTGTGAGGCTGAGATCTACGCAAGGGCCATGGCTGCATAGGAGCTTCGCTGGCTCACCTACCTGCTGACCGACCTTGGAGAGCCGCCTCGTTCTCCTCCAGTCCTGTACGTAGACAACAAGGCCATGCTGGCCTTGTGTCGGGAGCAGAGACTGGAGCACAGAACGAAGCACATTGCTCTCCGCTACTTCCTTGCTCGTGAGCTACAGGAGCGTGGTCAGCTGCGCCTTGCGTACATGGCCTCTGAGGCCAACACTGCTGCTAAACCCTGCTAAACCCTGTGCTGCCTCCGGGAGCAGATCGCCACACGCTGTCCACTAGGAGTGAAGGTATCAACCCACTCATCCTGAAGGACGGCGTTCCTCACCAATTTTGTAGAGAACGAGGGGAGGTGGAGACCTGACAGTGAGCCAGTCGGAACCGTTGGACACAGCAGAAGAGTGGAGGAACTTGCATGGACTGGGCCCCTAGAGGGGTCGGCCAGAGAGACAGCAGCAGGTGCTGAGAGCGATGTGACTGTGGTATTGTCGCGAAAGAAACAGCGTGAAGCACCTGAGTCAAGCGTGAATGTGTGCAAGGCCGCAGCAAGAGCAGTACGAGAGAGAGCAGACTCACCAGTACCTGAGAGAGCAGAGTCACTAGCACCTAGAGCATCAGCCTCTATACTTGGGTCGCGCGGCACACAAAGGTAACAGTCACCCTCAGCACGTCTCTGAGACGCCCAACACTTAGCAAACCACTCACGAAGTTGTTGGGGCGTAAGGGTCTCACATGGACGCCACTGCAGCTGCACCGGGCCACCTCCAGAAACTCCCAACTGAGTAGCTGCACCGCGACCACCACTACGGCCACTATGTTGAGACGCTCAACGCTGAGCAAACAACTCACGAAGCTGCTGGGGTGTAAGGGTCTCACGCGGACGCCGCTGCAGCTGCATCTGGCCACCGCCAAAAACTCCCCACCGAACAGCTCCACAGCAACTGCTATGACGGCTACCACCACTCCCACTGCTGCCGCCACTGTCGCCACCACTCCCACCGCTGCCGTGAAGAGAAGTCATGCGACCAGCAGGGCTGCATGTAGGGAAGGAAGGGCGGCAAGGAGGCACTAGGGTAGGTCGGGACGGTGCATGGTCAGGGAAGGGCAATGCGCGGCTAGAGCAGGGCTGCGCGCTACTAGAGGAGGGCGGCGCGCGGCCACAGGAGGGCTGCGTGCGGCCAGAGCAGGGTGGCGTGCGGCCAGAGCAGGGCTCAGCACGACCAGAGCAGGGCGGCGCGTGGCCAGAGCAGGGCGATGCGCGGCTAGAGCAGGGCGGCGCGCGGCTAGAGCAGGGTGGCGCGCCGCTAGAGCAGGGCGGCGCGCGGCCAGAGGAGGGCGGCGTGCGGCAAGAGCAGGGCTGAGTGCGGCTAGAGCAGGGCAGCCCGCAGCCAGAGCAGGGCGGCGCGCGGCCAGAGCAGGGCGGCGCGCGGCCAGAGCAGGGCGGCGCGCGGCCAGAGCAGGACGGCGTGCGGCCAGAGCAGGGCGGCGCGCGGCCAGAGCAGGGTGGCATGTGGCCAGAGCAGGGCGGCGCGCGGCCAGTAGCAGGCAGTAGCTCCTAGGGCAGCAGCACCAAGGGCATTTTAATTATTAATTTATTTACTTCTTTATTTTTGGGTTTAGCAGGGCGCACAGGGCGCAGCACAGGCGGCTCGGGCAGGGCAGGGCAGGACGCCGGTGCGCGCAGGGCAGGGCGCTGGCGCATTGGCAGGGCAGGGCGCTGGCGCGGGCAGCAGCGCGCAGGGGCAGGGCGGCGCTGGGCAGCGAGTGAAGGCCCGCGGCGGGCGCAAAACGCAGGCACGGCGGGCACAAAGGGCGGGCATGCGGCGGGCGTAGCGGACATGTGCGGGAGGGGCGAACGGGCGGGCCTGTGACGGGCCGAACGGGTGGGCGCGGCGGCGCGGGGCAGTAGAGCGCGACGCGCGGGGCAGCAGAGCGCGACGCGCGGGCTGCAGCAGGGCAGCAGGGCACGGGGCAGGGCAGGGCGTGCGCGAGGCAGCGCGACGCGGGGCAGGGCAGGGCGTGCGCGGGGCAGCGCGACGCGGGGCAGGGCAGGGCGTGCGTGAGGCAGCGCGACGCGGGGCAGGGCAGGGCTTGCGCGGGGCAGCGCGACGCAGGGCTAGGCGTACACGGGCAGTGTGACGCAAGGCAAGGCAGGACAAGGCGCGCGCTGACGGCGCAATGCAGGGCAGGGCGTGGGGTAACGCAGTAACCGCAGTCGTTCACTAAGTAATGGTGGGCCCGAAAAAACATGGTCCTAGGCTAGGACCTGCTCTGATACCATGTCAGGAGAATGAACGAGGAATGGATGAACTAGGCGCATGCAGGAGTACAAGTAGTAAACCCTAATTGGGTTGTACCCCATATGGGCTACCCCACTACAGCCTACACAACATGCAGCATATACAGTTTGACAGTGCAGCGACGAGCGGCACGCGGGCAAGGCAGGGCGCACGACGGCGGGCGGCGCGCGGGCAGGGCGACGCGGCGGCGCGGCGCGCGGGCAGGGCAGGGAGCGCTGCGGTAAGCGGCGACACTGCCCGCGGGCAGGGCAGGGCGCGCGGGTCAGCAGAGCGCGGGCAAACAGGGCGCGCTGCAACGGGTGGCGCGCGGGCAAAGGAGGCGCGCTGCAGCGGGCGGCGCGCGGGTTGGGCAGGGCGTGCGCAGGCAGCGCGACGCAAGGCAGGGCAGGGCGGCGCGATCACGGTAGCACGACGGGTGGGGTAGCGCTACTCGGTGGGCCCTAAGGAAACGGTCCTAGGCTAGTACCTCCTCTGAAACCATGTCAGAAGTACGAACGAAGTGTGGGGGCTGGGGGGGGGGGGGGGGGGGAGGGGGGGGGGGGGCCTGGGCATTGTTTGGATTCGAGTGGAATTGGAGGCTCGGGAAGAGTTTCGATTTGAGTGGGAGTGGGGACTGGGGGGGAGTTTCGATTCGAGTGGATTGGGGGCTGGGGGGAGTTTCGAGTGGAAGTGGGGCCTGGGGGGAGTTTTGTATGGAAGAAGTGCGTGTGTGGAGTCTCCTTATTGGTAAGTTCAGAAGAAGCACGGTAACACTTATGAGGATTCTATCAAACGTTACCCTGATTAGGCCGGATTCCAATATTTGTCACACCGGCAATTCAGGATAAGCTTTGCACCTCGGCAGTAATAAATCAGGGCAATTTTATTTTAGGGTAAACAGCCCTGATGGGTCAGGGTTCCCTGTATCCAGTCAGAGGGTTCGTTACGGAGCATCTGGACCGTCAAGGCAGACAGCATCAAGCAACAGCAGTGGCAAGGATTATGTCCGAACAGTTTCGTAACCGTTTGGAGTCGCACGGTTGGATTTCGCTGTAATTAGGGAATGTACCCCTTAGAGTACATGGCTAGTTAGGTCGTTTCGTATTCCACCTGTACTCTTATTAATATGTTTGTATTTGCATGTTTATCATCTCAATCATTTTACATTCACTCTGATTTGAGGTCAAGGGCCCACCACTACCACCTAATTGTGTGCGAACCTTCCCAAGGTGATCCTGGGTACCGTAGTGCCGTACCCCTGCTGGGTACGATCACCTTCTGATCGCAGCAAAATCTAGACCAACAGATTAAATTATTCTGATAAAGAGAGCCCTACCAGTGTGTTATGTCCTGAAGAATACAGTCAGGTAACCAGTTTTGTGGCAATTTTAATCTTGAACTTGAAAACAACCATGTACGTAATCGGGCTCAAGTCCGAGTGAATGTAAAATGACATCAAGTCAGAGTGAATGTAAAATGACTGAAGTGGTTATATCACAAGCATACATATACGGTATTTATGTATAGAATACATGGAATACGAAGCGGTACGTTTCCATACCCATGGAATACATGGAACACATAGACTAGCCATGTACTCTAAGGGGTACGTTCCCTTACCCCTGGCAATATGCAATCGATCCCCTCCAAAACAAGGCAAAGAAAATTGAAATCAGCAAGGCCTCCGCCTAGAGGTGTCTTTATAGTAACTGACGTACAATCAGTGGCTTCAAGGAGAGCAGCTGATAGAGCGCAGCAACGCGACTTCTCCACTTGTGGTCCTGCAGCGGCCCCAGTCAGGGCAAGGCAACAAAACAAGAAAACAAATCAGTCAGTTTGAGCGAGACTTGATAACAACAAACCAAGGAATTTGGGTAAGGGCAACGCAAGCAGGAAAATTGCACATGCTAGCACAAACACCAGTGAAACGGAATACGGTAGCTATCAGCATGTGGCACTCACGCAGCAGTGGTAACATTGTTGCCGGGGCGATACCACCCTGCGGCGCGGCCATAGCAGTCCGCCCCGTTCCAAAACCACATGAGCCCACACACCACCCTGCGGCCCGTGGCGCCATCAGGCGCATCCCACAGTATCTTCAGCGACCCCACCGCCCCTGCCATTGGCGCCGGCACGTTCACACAGCCGGCAGGGCGAGCAGCGCCGGGAGTGGGCGCTCGGAGGATGATGGGGCCGAAGGTGGCGGGTGCATTGGTGAAGGAGGGGCGGTTGAAGAGAGCAATGCTGGTGGTGACTGTGGTGGATGAGGCTGGAGGGAGGCAGGCGGGAAGGGGATGGAAGGTGAAGAAATGGGGGTGATGCAAGATTGGTGTCGTGAGTAGATGGATGAGAATGGAGGCGCAAGTAAAACTCTTGAGAGCATCTGTGAAAGATAAGCTAGTAGCAAATGGTTGATGGAAGGGTTGGGCATTGGCGCGTACTTGAAGCACAGGTGCCGTTCACAAGGGGCTGCGAGGCCGGGCAGACGCAGAAGGGGATGTCGTTGCTGTCCGCCCTGCAGCGCGCTGAGGCCGGGCACGTCACCCCCTTGCAGGAGGGCGCTGGAGGGGGGGAGGGGACAGAGGGGTGGAGGGGTGAGAGAAATTAAGATGGATGAAATGTTTGGTGTAAACGATAGAGAGGGAACAAAAGCAGAGGTAAGAGTCACAAGCTTAAGGAGCACTTCAAAGGCACCTCAAAGGTCCGATGTTAGAGAAGAGCGATAGAAGAAACGCCCTCCTACAAGCCACCTCGAAACCTTCTGCCCCTGAACCAGCACTCACCCAGGCATGTGTTGGAAGCGGTGAGCACGGTGCCCTGGGGGCACACACACTGCGCTGCTCCAGACGAGCCGTCACACACCAGGTCCCCTGCACACCTGCTCGCCCCCCTGCATGGGTCTGCATTCAAAGGGAGAAATGGGGTGTGAGGGTGAGGAAGGGAGGTGAGTATGTGCAATATTTAACATCCTGATGATCGGGAACGGAGAGATGGGAAGGGTGGGTGAAAAGCACACACGAAACACGCCAAGCAACCAACAGCGCACGCCTCTCAGGCTCACCTGCGTGGCACTTGCCATTGACCAACGCCTGGCCTTGCGCGCACTGGCACTTGGGGTTGCCCCCCACTGCCATGCAGGTGGCTGTGGATGGGCAGAGCGCTCGGAAGCAGGGGTCCTGCACTGCCGTGGGGACGCATGGGGTGGAGGGGAAGGGGAAGCAGGGGAGCGTGTGTGTTGGGGGGAGACCACGAAGAGGATACGGCCAAGGGAAGCATGCAAGCGGAGAAGGCAAGGGCTGGAGAGTGAAAGGGAGAGGGCAAGGGGGAGATGACAAGAGAAGAGGACAAGAGAAGAGAGCAAATGGTGGAAATGAGGGGCAACCAGCTGTCACAGCAGGAGCAGCGCATGGGGCTGGATGGCCCTTTCAAGAACGTGGAAGGCACGCTGCAGTGCGTACCATAAGGCAGCTGGCCGTTGCAGCGCGTACCATAAGGCAGCTGGCCGTTGCAGTGCGTACCATAAGGCAGCTGGCCGTTGCAGTGCGTACCATAAGGCAGCTGGCCGTTGCAGTGCGTACCCTAAGGCAGCTGGCCGTTGTAGTTGCCTGGCGGCGAGTAGTGGCACGCCCACACGTCGCTGCGCGTGCCACACGACGCCTTGGCACACCCCAGCCTGCGCGTGTTGTTCCACACCAACTGCACCCCCCGCCCATGCCACGCACACGAGACACAAGGCAGTTGTGAGTAGAAGGAAGGAAAAATCAGTTAGAAATGAACCGCCACGTGCATGCAGGCAGGCCCAAGCATTGAGACGTCTGCGCCTGGCGATGAAGTGTTTGTAAAAGCTACTGCTCGCCACTCACCTGCGTGTAGTGGCCGCACTTGGCCCAATCACCGCCCGCACAGCCGTTGGGGAACACTCCGAGTTGGTACCACTTGCCCTCGTCCACCCACCAGCGCACCGCATCGCCGTTGGACGCCCATCCGCTGGGGCTGGCGCCCGACAGGTTCTGCCCCTCGCCGCTGGCGCCGCCGTGCTGCAGCTGGCAGTTGTGCGCACTCGACGCCAGCGCCTGAACCCATGCCCTGGCCCTTGATGCCACTGGGAGTGGGGATGGGGGCCGGGGGAAAGGGAAGGGATAGAAGGGAGAAGGAAAAAAGGCAGAAGGAAAGAGGAAGAGGAGGGAAGGGGACTGAGAGACAAGCGTGCACACAGAGACGCCATGGCACATGCAAGCACCACCCACATGCGCCATGCTGCATGCATGCACCCCGTCGCCCCAGCAGCAGCACTCACGGGCATCATCCCACACGAGGGGCGCAGCGCCCACAGCGGCGCGGGCGGCGTTGTGTTGGTCCAGGTAGTCCGAGTTGGCGAGCGCAGCGGACGAGCACTGGTTGTTGATCAGCCGCTTGAAGGGCGCCGGGCATTTGCACACCGCTGCACCGTTCTGCACCGCGCACTTGGAGACATCGGGGCACTTGACTCCATAGCATGGGTCTGAGGAGGAGATCGGGGGGGGGGGGGGGAAAGGGGGGTGGGGGGGAAAGGGGGAAGAAAAGGGTTGGGCATTCACCGCCGCGCCCCTGGACAGGTGCGAACATTTGCCATCCTCTCCTTCTCACCCCCACTCTCCCTTCTCCCTCCTCTTCCTCTTCCTTTTGACACGCGGGCACCTCAATCTCAGCGATAAGAGAGGGAGAGCGCCGCGGGGGCAGGATGCAGGGAGTCAACGAGGCGCGCGAATAGTGTTGCAATCACCTGAGCACGAGCACTTGGCAACGCCAGAGGAAGCGGAGCAGGAGCAGCCGTTCGGGCACGTCACGAACGAGCACGCGTCGCTGCCAGCCGCACCGCCGCGCCATGGCTGCGCCGAGGCGCCCCTCCACCGACCGGCGCCTGCAGCGACAGCGGCGGATGCGGACGCGAGGTGGCGGGAGAGGAGGGTGGCATGGAGGAGGGGAAGGAGGAGGAGGAGAAGAGGGGTGGCGATTGCGGTTCGCATTCTACTTGTTACACGCTCCATCTGACAACCAATAGTGCCGATCAGTGCGAGATCGAGAAAGAAAATGGAGCGACAACTTATGAGTCGCGAGTGGCGAATTTAGCCTGGCGAGAATGGCTGGTGGATGGCTGCGGTTATAATAACTTCGGCGAGGACGGATAAGGTACGAACGCGAGAGCGGCTGAATTCTGAACGAGAATACGCGGACCAAGCCATGGCGGAGGCGAGCGAAGGAAGTGCGCTTAGCGTAAACGTAACGAGACGGGTGGCTGAACCGGGTCGCCTCGGACCACTCGGACCACTCGTACGCGGCTTGCAAGTTGGCGACGAGGCACACGAGTGCGGGTTGCGGCTAAACAGAAAATGGTCGGACCCAGAAGGTCGGTGAGGGGTTGAACTTTCTAAACTCACAGAGACCGCGGAGAAGAGAGTCCATCTACCAACCAACCAACTCGGCATCCATGTCTGCTGTTGTAACGGATCTACTAACAAAAGGGGCATCTGCCCATTTATCAATAGGTTGTAATACAAACCGAGAGTAGAAGCTCCTGGAAATTACAAATTACTATCTAAAGAGTGCTATGAGATTTTTTTTTTTGGGTTGCGTAGCAACCTTATACATTCGTTTTCACTTTTCGGTTGGCTGATGTGAACAGTGAATTTCTTTTATAAAATTTGAAAGAAATCATTGTTCACATAGCTTCCCCCAAAAAATGAAAACAAATGTTTCCAATCATTCCATAATCGTCGATAAGTACGGCGAATGGAACAATTGGAGAATCGTTCTAGCACTAAAGATGATACCCCAACGACACAGCAACACAATGGAAAAAAAAAAAAACAAGAGGCGACTAGGTCGTCCTAGGGTTGCGAAGCGAATCGGTACGATACTTTTTCACTTTAGTGTAGTATGAAACCTGTAGTGTACTAGAAAATGGTACTTCCTCTTTCGTAAAAAGCCTTGAATAATTTCTACTGCTGGAATTGATCCTTCGACCTTTCAGCTCCCAATAGACGTTCGTCCGACTGGGCAAGCGCATATGCGTTTGCCCCGTACCCGTTTTTATTAATCTTTTGTTTTTAGCGACGCATGTGTCTTTGCGTTAGGGTTTGTCTAACCCTTTTCTTTCTCCCTGCCTCTCGCCTTTCGAGCCAGTCACGCCAGTTGATTCCCCCGCGAGTCACGCTACTCCACCTAGAGATGCAAGGTGAGATCAACCTTAAGTAATAATCTAGAACTAAGTTAGGTGATTAAGAACTAGCCTATCGTCCCTAACTATCGAATCCTAATCGTTTACTCTAGTCTTGGCCGTCTTTAAAAGATCCAGGTTGTTAAAGGTTAGGTTCTAGACTTAGTGTAAGTACTTAAGTTTGAAGTCGTTTGTAAGCCTGCATGTGTTCTTTAGTTCCTCATCGTCCCTTTCCTTTTATCGCATCCTGGTCACCTCGTAGTTGCACATGTTTCTTTGACATTCTAACTTCATTTTCTCTTCTGTTCTTTCTATATAGATTTGAATACTTAACCTTCATTGCCTTAGTTTATAGATTGAACAGATTTTTATTGAACCACATTTCAGTTTTTGTTATGTGCTCCTTGTTTATTGCCACCACCCATACATATCTTCTCCATTTCGTTTCTGAGCTCTATATACCCTTGCCTTTCAGTTTTCATTCCGTTCAGTCATGAGGTACTCATTCAACGGGCGTCCCCTTTCAACTATGCACGATCTAATCGTAGCTAGGTGAGTTCGTTCTATTGATCTTCTTTTTTGTATTTCGCCTCTCATCTTTTTCTCTTATCTGTTCCTCTTTCTGTATTGATCTCGACTTTAACCTTGTTCGTTAACCATGAAATTCTGTTTGTTTCCGTTGCATCTCGTTTCCTTTTCAACAACTTTTCTCTTGTTATGGGTTATTCTACGTTGTACATTCTTTGTTAACCAGCACCCGTTTATAGTTTTGAACGTTCCTCTTATTGGGCTTCTTAAATCGGTTTCTTAGTTCTTTGTTCTTTTCTCACCTATCTATGTAGATTGATATTTGTAGAATACCTTCTGTTTGTTGTTGTTGCACATAGTTTCCTTTCCACATTATTTTCTCTTGTTTCTCTGATCCTTTTGATTTTCTGTTTCACCTCTTTCCGTATGCTTCTTTCAGCGTGTTTGTTATCGGATTCTTGTATCCATGTTAACTAGTTTTTTTTGCTGAAAATTTGATGTATCAAATCAGTTCAGCACGTGTATTGTGTCAGAACATATCTATAGCTTATACTGCTGTGTAGGCTGTAGTGGGGTATCCCATAGGGGGTACAACCCAGTTAGGGTTTCATATTTGTACTGCTTTCATTCATAGTTGATTCATTCCTGCTTACTCATTTCACATGGTATAGAGCGGGTTCCCTGTGGAACTCTGCCTAGGGCCCACCGAAGCGCGCCCCGAGGCGCGCTCAACTTTTTTTTCCGCTATCGAGCGACCCTCCGTGTCGCCTCCCTCCCACACGCGGCCCAGCCGCCCGCTAAGTCGCGGCCCCAGCCGCCCGCTACGATCGCGGCCCCAGCCGCCTGCTCGACACGGCCCCCCCAGCCGCCTGCTCGACGCGGCCCCCAGCCGCCTGCTCGACGCGGCCCTGCCGCCCGCTACGCCGCGGCTGCCGCCTGCTACGACCGCGGCCCCCCAGCCGCCTGTTCGACCGCGGCCCCGCCGCCCGCTCCTGTCGCGGCCCCCAGCCGCCTACTCGACGCGGCCCCCAGCCGCCTGCTTGACGCGGCCCTGCCGCCCGCTACGCCGCGGCCGCCGCCTGCTACGACCGCGGCCCCGGCCGCCTGCTACGACCGCGGCCCCAGCCGCCTGTTCGACCGCGGCCCCGCCGCCCGCTCCTGTCGCGGCCCCCAGCCGCCTGCTCGACGCAGCCCCCGGCCGCCTGCTCGACGCGGCCCTGCCGCCCGCTACGCCGCGGCCGCCGCCCACTACGATCGCGGCCCCGGCCGCCTGCTACGACCGCGGCCCCAGCCGCCTGTTCGACCGCGGCCCCGCCGCCCGCTCCTGTCGCGGCCCCGGCTGCCTGCTCGTGCAGCCGAGCCGCCCGGGAGCCGAGCCGCCCTGCACCCGAGCCGCCCTGTCGCCGAGCCGCCCAGGAGCCGAGCCGCCCTGCCCCCGAGCTGCCCTACCGCCGAGCCGCCCGGGAGCCGAGCCGCCCTGCGCCCGAGCCGCCCAGCACCCGAGCCGCCAGGTCGCTGAGCCGCCTTTCTGCATACCTACTCGACCTGCCCTGCCTGGTGAGCACAGTCCCACTGCCACTGCGGCTCTTTCCCTACTGCTTGCACTGCGTCGCTGTCTTCGCCATGGCTACCCCTAGTGTCCTAGCTTTTGACGCTGAGGGTCGCGCCATTGATTTTGAGGTCTGGTTAGACGACCTGCAGCTGTTCTTACAGTGCGACAGGGCTGACGACCTTTCTCTCTTTGACCTCACCTCTGGCGCCTCTCCTGCTCCTGCTGCTGATGCTGATCCCGCTGTCCGCTCTAAGTGGGCCACCCGCGATGCTGCTACACGTCTTGCTGTGCGTCGCCACCTCCCTACCTCTGAGCGTGCGCACTTTAGTCAGTACAAGAGTGCTCAGACCTTGTACGACGCTGTAGTTGCGCGCTACTCCTCCCCTGCCACTGCTGCACTGAGCCGTCTCATGCTTCCCTACCTCTTTCCTGACCTCTCTGCCTTTCCCACTGTCGCTGACCTCATTACGCACCTCCGCACTAGTGACACTCGCTACCGCGCCGCCCTTCCTGCTGAGTTCTGCGCTAAGAACCCCCCCCCCATGTACATCGCTCTCTACTACGTAGTCGCACGCCTCCCTGACTCCCTTCGCGTCGTCAGGGACCACTTTCTCGCAGTCTGTCCCACCACTCTCACCGTCGACCTCCTCGAGAAGGCCCTCCTTGCAGCGGAGAAGAGCATAGTCGCTGTAGGTGCTTCTCGTGGTGACCCTCGCACCCCCATCTTTGAGGGGTGCTCTCCTTCCCCCTTGCTGCTCTCTGTTGCCTCTGCTGCTGCTGCCGACCTGCTTGGTCTTGAGTCGGTCGGCGCGGCGTCTGCCCCTAGTGGGAGACGTCGCTCCAGCAAGGGCAAGGGGGGCAAGGGCGCGGGTGGAGCTGGAGGGGGCGGTGGCGGTGGCGGCGGTGGCGGCGGAGGGAGTGGGGGTGGCGGCGGGGCTAGTGGCGGGGGTGGTGGTGGTGGTGGCGGCAGCAGCGGCGGAGACGGTGGTGGTGGTGCCAGCGGTGGTGGTGGAGGCAGCGGCGGAGGTGGAGGCGGCGGAGGTGGAGGCAGTGGAGGCGGCAGCGGAGGAGGCAGTAGTGGTGGAGGAGGTGGAGCTGGTCGGGGTGGTACCCAGCAGCGTAGCGGCGGTGGTGGTGGCCAGCGCTCGCACCGGCAGCAGCAGCAGCGCTCGCGGGACATCCCTTCGCCTCAGCAGCTTCGTGAGTGGTACGCTGGGCGTCAGAGGGGTGGGGGTACTGGTCCCTGCACCTACGTTCTTCGTTCCGGCGACCGCGCGGGTGAGCAGTGTGGGGGTGCCCACGCCACCCAGCGCTGCTTTGGCCGCCTGACGGATGCTTGGCGTCAGCAGTTCCCTGGGGCTAGTGAGATCCCTCGCTGGGATGAGCTTCTCAGGGCTGGTGTAGCGATCTTTGATCTTGATTTTGATGCTATCCTTACTGCTATGTATGTTGTGGATTATAGTGAGGAGAATGAGGGTTACCGGTGTTTTCAGCCCGACCCGGGCATTGGTACTGCTGCGCTAGGTGCTTGTGAGGCTGCTGCTCTAGGTGCCAGTGCGTCTGCGCTCTCAGGTACTGGTGAGACTGCGC